GAGGCCGGATACCGTAATGATGTAATGGTGATAGCTGAGGGTTGGACACACGACATCTATCAATAAAACAATAAATGAAAATTGGGAAATTTGTATCATGGACTCTAATACAGAAAGAAGCACAAAGTGTCATATCATCTGTGCACAACAAGCAATTAAAGTGACAAATGCAGCAGTGAAATTTATAGAAATATAACACATATACATAGTTGCGCATATGTAACATATGAGAGTTTTGCAAGGATAACTTGATAATCTAGGTATATATTAAGTACAACAGAGCATGGTTCAAGGTAGGAAAGAAAAATTGAGATGATCTGGGCACAAAAGAATAAAATACCGCACTGTGAAATAAGAGAAAAACAAAATCAAAGCAGAAGTGGTAACCAGTCAGTGACGGCAACTTGCTATGCAATGAGAAGGGCGCATAGCAAACTTCTGCCTTGGAAAGGATAACAATAAAAACAAAACGAAATTCAAGGAAACAACACGCCACATTTGCTTAACGTATTAATTTTATTCCATGCACAATCTTTTCATTAAGTTTTTAATGTTTGTTTAGTTTTGAGAGACTGAGAGAGGCAGAGCATGCAGCGGAGGGGCAGAGGGGGAGAGAGAGAGACACAGAATCCGAAGTAGGTTCCAGGCTCCTAGCTGTCAGCACAGAGGCCCATGTGGGACTCAGATGCAAAAGCTGTGAGATCATGACTTGAGCCGAAGTCGGACGTTTAACCGACTGAGCCATCAGGTGCCCTATTCCATATATAATTTTAAAATAATTTAATAGAACAGAATTTATCAACTCTCCACTGTGTCACCAATTTGAGGAGATCTCTATGGAAATGGAAGCCCTGATGAACCTGCCCTAAATATACGACATTTTTATCAAGAGTCCTATGTAGTGCTGGGGCGCCTGGGTGGCTCAGTCCATTAAGCATCCGACTTCGGCTCAGGTTGTGATCTTGTGGCTTGAGACTTCGAGCCCCTGTTAGCCTCTGTGCTGACAGCTCAGAGCCTGGAGACTGCTTCCGGTTCTGTGTCTCCCTGTCTCTCTGCCTTTCTCTCGCTTGCATTCTGTCTCTCTCTCGAAAATAAATGAACATTTAAAAAAATTTAAAAAGGGTCCTATGTGGTGTAAATGAAAAGTTAAGTAAGGGTGAAAATAGGAGAGAAAGAAAGAAGGAAAGAAAGAAAGAAAGAAAGAAAGAAAGAAAGAAAGAAAGAAAGAAGAAAGAAAGAAGAAAGAAAGAAGAAAGAAAAAAAGAAAGAAGAAAGAAGAAAGAAAGAAAGAAAAAGAAAGCTAAATAGATGATAGATGGATAAATAGGTGATTGAATATAAATGATGATGATAGATGATAGATAATGATAGATAGAGATAATAGATGTTTGAATATAGATGTTGATGATAGAGAGATGGGCGATTGAATGTAAATGACGATGATGATGATAGATGATAGATGATAGATAGATAGATAGATAGATAGATAGATAGATAGATGATAGATAGATAATAGATAGGTGATAGATCAACCGATAGATAATTTATTCTCTGGTGAATACAAATTGCCCTTGCCTGTTAATGGACAACTTCCAGACATTTTTTAATGCCCTCATATGCTTGAGCCATCATTAAACAAATTGCTCAGCATCTCCTGAGGGAGAGTCTCAAAAGGTGAAGAGAACCCATAAATTGTTCTCCATATGCCATGTTAAGAAACACATATGGGAGTCAAGACAGAGTGTCCATTACAGGTGAAAATGACAGAAAATTTGTGTGGTATCTCATATTACCAAATATCCACGATGTTTCGGTGATGTTTGGTAAGTTCCACTTTAACTTCGTGGCAAAGCTCTAGCAAATGTGACCATTTCTGATTTTGTTTGCTTTGCTTTCCCGTAACCATAATGCCTGAGCAGGAGTAGGAATTACCTCATTTTTTCCTTCTTATTAATTTTTTGAATGGTTTCACATGGTGGAGAGGCTAAAGCTTCTGTGACTCTTTGAAACTTCATTTTTATATAGTTATGCAATACTTCCATTTAATATGAATAGTTTTACCTCAAACGGAGAGCAATATAAAAGCAAATGGTACACAGCCGAAGAGACATGAAATTTTTTGAGTTAACAAAGTTAAGAAACTGCAGGTAGTATCTGTCATTTTGATGTCTTTCCAAATGTTTATTTAGTGACTCTGGACACTTTTTGTGATTCTCTCAAAAGTAATTTAGTATTTAATGATTGTTTAAATAAACATATCAATACAATTATCCTCTGAGGTCTTGATAAGGAAAAAAAGGGGTGGTCACCTCACAATGAGGTGTGCAAAGCCTCATTTGGACATTTGGAGACCTTTAAGTAGCAAGTTTTACGGAAATGGAATGATGTAGAGTATTCTTCATTTTCCAGTAGGATCTGACAGAAAGCGGGAAGAATTATCTCAAAGGATATAGCTTTAAACAATTACATATCAAACATCCAACAGAGACAGTAAACTATGAAAAAGCAATGTGATTCTTTTTATAGAACTCCAAAGCTAGTGAGAGGAAATGCGTTTATCTTTCTTCACCTCACAGAAAACTCGATACTCAAAAAGTACTATTTATTTTTTTAGCTTTCCATGATTGCAAAGGAAAACAAAACAAAGTGGAAAGAAACAAGCAAAACTCAAAATTTATACTGTTTTTATTGCATTTACGGAATATTTCTCTAATATTCTCTCCTACTGATACACATTATCATATTTCTGTTACAAGAAAGGTGTGTGCATCAGAGCAGAGGAGCATATCAAGAGGTGACAAACCTAAGACTCAGGTAAGTTAAAGGGAAGTTACACATAATTACCTTTATATAGAATGTAGTGGAGTTGTATGTTTTGTCTGCTTAGAGCTCACTCAGTGACTTCTGACTTGACCTGTAATTTCATTGCAGACAGTATTATTTCCCTTTTGATGCCCACGACTTTTTAAACCAAAAATACTTCTCTTACCTTAACCTGCCATCCACCTTCCACTCTGGAATAATTTTTTATCTGTGAGTGTTTAGGATATTTAGATACACGTCATGTGATTATATACATGTTTGTCTGCATTATGTGCTACATCATAGTTTGAAGGTGTTTTTGTGAACTTAGTGTAGAGAAGGATTTCGAATCCCATCCAGGGACCCACATACATCTCGTCTTCAGTGTATTGTATTTTGTCTTTAAGCTATTGTGTATCACAGTGGCTTTCAACTTTTATTTTTCCTTAAAGTGTGATTTCTGCTAATCCAAAGGGAATTCTTGTGAAACTTCATTATGCCAAACCTCTGCCAGTAACGTATTCTTCCTTCAAATTTACCATGTTCCCTTAGTTTCCTGCTCGAGAAAGTGCATCTGATTTGCTACATTTGAGTTAGTATGTCTCTATTTTAGTAAAAATGACACAAGGGGAAGAATAATGTTTTAAGCAAGTTTATATCAGAATAACTTATCTAAAAGGATACTAAAACTGATAAGAAAATTAGAAGATAAGTAACCCAAGGAGCCACAACACAATTATTCAAATGTTGTCATGGAAGAGTGGTGAGGTATGTCTTGCTTGAACAGTTCCTCATCTCTTCCTACGATAGCCTTGACAAAGAACTTCAGTCCCAGGCCAGAGAATGCACAGGTATATAAGTCAGGAAAGTAGAAACATTTCAGGTAAGTTCCTATCACTCTTTCAAAAACACACAAACAAGCAAACAAACAAGCAAATAAAAACCCATAATGTACTTAATATTTGAGAACTATTTCCAGGTAACATAGACACATTAAAGTATCGAAACTTCATTTATCCTAAAACTCATCAAGGAAACATCAGCTTTATATACGAGAATAAAGACTTTTAGATGACTCATTTTTTTGCCCAAATTAAATCTTTGGATATACTATAAACTGAAATACAGCTGAAAGTATATCTCCATACATGTATCTACTGGTATGTTTCACCATGTCCCCCAAAATAATTCCCATTCTGATGTGTTACACTTTTCTTATTCATACACCTGTCAAATATCTGTCAAGTATGCTAACTTTCCAGTCAGTTTCACATGTAGGCATACCTTTCATAGGACCATGCTTGAGTAGTGGGCTTTATGCAATTGGAAAACTTCTGGTTTAACATTTTTATTATAGGGGCACCTATGCTTCAGTTGGTTAAGTGTCCAACTCCTGATTTCGACTCAGGTCACGATCTCATGGTTTGTGGCATGGAGCCCTGCAGTGAGCTCTGCACTGACAGGGCGGAGCCTGCTTGACATTCTCTCTCTCCCACTCTCTCTGACCCTCTCTCTGTCTCAAAATAAATAAGTAAACATTAAAAAAATTATAATATATAATAGACATATGTTAGGTCATATGATTTACGTATCTTATAAATGTCATTTTGTGATTGTATCAAATATGGTAGAAAGAATAATTTAAAGAATAGTAAAATAAATACCCATATATCTAATCCCTGAAGTTTTCATTTTTTTTGTTTCTGCTTTAGCATCCATATCTACTTACCTTTATGTATTTATTTTCCATCTATCAATAAATAAGTCTATTATCTATCCACCTAATTATATCACCAGGGTTTTTTAACATCATTACTGCTGTTATTCCTGACTGAATATTGTCATGGCCTAGATATTAGATATATTAAGATATTTAGCAGCTTAACTTGTGTCTAACAATTGGAAATCATTAGCATCCCGACTCTTGGATATGACATTCAAAATGTCTCTAGACATTGAAATATATTCTTTATGGAGTAAAATGCCTCCAGTTGAGAACCAACTATTTCGATTTCTTTATGCATATATAGTGGTCTACGTGGGATTTGGGTTTGTGTTCAAATATCCTAAATTGGACAGTTTGGATGTATCTTATTTATACTAGTTGGCCATACCAAGCCCTCTCTCAGGAGACAGTACATAATATATATTGACTAAGATGATGTATCTATCCATAATAGATTTTCTAGTAAACTTGGATGGAAAAACACAATCTGACAGTGTTTAATGAATTTATTCTCATGGGAATCACACAACGTCCTGAGCTGCAGGCTCCATTATTTGGGCTCTTCCTCATCATCTATGTGATCTCAGTGGTGGGCAACCTGGGCCTGATCATCCTCGCCAAGGTGGACTCCAGGCTACAAACACCCATGTACTTCTTCCTCAAACACCTGGCTCTCACTGATCTGGGTTATTCAACAACTGTGGGACCCAAAATGTTAGCAAGTTTTGTTGTGGAAGAAAACACAATTTCCTATCATTTGTGTGCCACACAGGGAGCATTCTACATTATGTTCATCGTTAATGAGTTTTTCATTCTGTCGGCTATGTCCTATGACTGCTACGTGGCCATCTGTAATCTTCTGCTCTATCCAGTCATCATGTCACAAAGGGTGTGTCAGATGCTGGTGACAATCCCCTATCTCTACAGTACATTTGTGTCTCTTCTGGTCACCATAAAGATTTTTAGTTCATCCTTCTGTGGTTACAATGTCATCAGCCATTTCTACTGTGACAGTCTTCCCTTGTTGTCCTTGCTCTGTTCAAATACGCGTGAAATTGAGTTGATAATTTTGATTTTCTCAGTGTTTGATTTGATGTCATCCCTTCTTGTAGTCGTTGTGTCTTACCTGCTGATACTGGCAGCCATCATCAGGATGAACTCAGCTGAGGGTAGGCACGAGGCCTTTTCTACCTGCGGGTCCCACCTGACAGTAGTCACAGTGTTCTATGGGACTCTGATATTTGTGTATGTGCAACCCAAGTCCGTTCATTCCTTTGATGCCGATAAAGTGGCATCCATATTTTACACCCTCATCATCCCCATGTTGAATCCCTTGATTTATAGCTTGAGGAACGTAGATGTAAAATATGCTTTCCATAGGATATGGAAAAAGTTATGTAGTACCTTTTCTTAAGTTCGTTGTATACTATGTGGTTCCTGTGAATTAGATTGTCAACATTAAACATTTCTATTTGTTCTTTCGGAGGAAAGGTCAAGGATAAGTGAGTTCAACATATATCTAGAGATTGACTTCTATGCATCAGTCATAGGTTGAAGTGCTCTAAACACACTGTGAATAAATAACGAATATATTTCCATTCTTGAGGGAAAGACAAGAGTTATGAGCATCATAATTAGGCAATGTGTTAGCAGAGTAGAATGGTTACTAGTCTGTAGACTCAACACCAAGCAAGGAGTGTGGGAATGCTTTGGGCAAGTGAAGAAGAATACCTGCAACAGAAAGGTACCTGTAGGTATGTTTTTCTGTAAGTACATTCTTTCTGTTTAACCTACATAGGTTTCTATGGGGTGTATAAAACACAGTTGATTGTAGTTTTAAGCAGGTTCAGTGTATTGCCTTAACTTGAAGTCATCAGTCATCTGAATGTGCTCCAATCTCTCCATTCCATGAGGGGTCTTTGTGTCCTGGTCTTTCTTCACGAGCGCCATTATTTTCATTATTTTCATGACTGAAGCCCCAGAGAGTCTATCGACTACACACACTTGGCATTTCAACAATCCAGAAGATCACCACAGCATCTGATTTTGTCTAAATGTGTCCATTTGTCTATAATAGTGGATAAAGCAATTGAATTAAATTTCATGGGGTCTGCCATACACATTTTTGGATTTTTAAATTTCTCTTGCCAGCTTGATCTTGATTCCTTTTTAAAAATTTTTTTAAAGTCTATATTTAGAGAGAGAGAGCATGAGGGAGGGGCAGAGAGAGAGAGGGAGAGAAGGAATCCCAAGCAGGCTCCATACTGTCAGCACAGAGCCCAGTGAGGGGCTTGATCCCAGGACTTCTGAGATCTGAAATCAAGAATTGGACGCTTAACACATGAAGCCACCCATGTGCCCTAATTTTGAATCTTAAATGCTTATTTTTGTCTAATGAAGTTATGCTTTATCTCTTTAAAGAACAAGGATAATTTTTGTGTAAAAGTCATTTTCTAGTTTTTTTTGTATGGTTGCATATGAAATCTATTCTATCATAAATAACAGTGTTGACTCTTTCCACAAATTTGTTTCAAATGAGTGTGTACTATATTTTGAACAGGTAAATTGTTCGACTACATTGATTGGATGACCCTGCCCCTGCCTGGAGAAAACAAAAGAAGAAAATTCTATGGTTTGGACTGTGAATAAATGTGATGTCAAACATATATACTTGGTGTGCTTTTTGGACATATTTCCTACATAACACTTGGCAAATACCCTATTTTTTGTTTACTTTTATTTTTTTAACATTCAAAAACGTATTTGCATCTTGGAGAGACTGAACTCTTTTCTGAGTCCACCATCATGGAATAAAATTAACTGTGAAGCCAATAAAATTTGAATAAAAGTAATTAATAAGAATACACACACACACACACACACACAGAGGGAGAGAGAGTCATGTGCAAATAATTAATAGGGCCTTTATGGCTTATTTTTTATATTAAAAAATTATACACCTAAGTATGAGCTATGCCTGTACACATATAAAGAAATACATGTTTCTTAGGTGACATAGTTAGGACAGCATTACGGTGAAATGTTAATAATACAGGGATTTGAAAAAACAAATGATAAGTAAATATAACACAATATCCCACTCCTAAAATAAGTATTGGAGTGTTTCGATTAGCCCTCAGAATACAAGCCAAAAAGAGAAAAATAAAGTGTTAAGACATAAATTTCAATAATATGTTTCATTCGCTTAAAAAATTAGTCTCTATTTGGTGCCTGGGTGGCTCGGTTGGTTAAGAATCTGACTTTGGCTCAGGTCATGATATCATGGTTAGTGAGTTTGGGTCCCACATCAGGTGAGCTCGAGCCCCTTTGGGTGAACAGGAGCCCCACTTCGAGTAAAAATGTGAGCTCCACTTTGAGTGAGCCCCCTTTCTCTCTTTTTCTCCTTCTCTCTCTGCCCACCATGGAATTCTCGCTCTCCTCTCTCTGCCCCCTCACTCACTTGCGCCCTCTCTCCCCGCCAAAAAAATCTTTATTTCATTACTAGGTATATATATTACACATATCAGAAAGTATTATATTCTTGGGGTGCTTGGGTGGCTCAGTTGGTTAAGCGTCCAACTTTGGGTCAGGTCATTATTTCACCTTCCTGAGTTCAAGCCATGCATCGGGCTCCTAATTTTACATCAGGTACTGCTACCAACATAAAAGGTTGCTCAGCAATAGTTTCATTTATGCATTTCAATTTAAACTTCAATGAGATAACACCATAAACCAAGGGTAATATCTAGTTGTTGGTGAGTATATGGAGGAATGAAAACTCATACATTGTTGGTGGAAAATTAAAATGGTATAAATATTTAAAAAACATCTGGTTTAACATTCACCATCTTAGAAAGTAAAAATGCAGCTAATGTATTTAGGCCTTCCACTGCCATGTGAGAGAGAAAATACATCACATTCCATTGCAAATATTCTATGTGAATGTCCACAGAAAGCTTACTTATAATAGTTAGACTGGAAATAATTCAAATGTTCTTCCACTTGAGAATGGGTAAACAAATTATGGAATATCCAAGCAAATGAATACCTTTCAGCTATAAAAAGCAATAAATTATTGGTATGCACAAAAATATGGATGACTCTCAAAATTATTATGCAGAGTAAAGGAGATCAGACTAAAAAGTATAAACAATATAACATTAAATTTTTAAAAATTTAAAAATCTCAAATGCAGATTCATCTAAAGTTGCACAAAACAGGTAATATGACAAATTCCAAACAGTGCAAG